CTCGGAGGCGCTTTCGACATGTCCCTCGGAGGTTTCCGCCATGAAGCATTCCCGGGAGGGATGATGGCTTCCCCTGCCGGAGTCAGAGCCAGAGTCCGACCCCGGGCCTTCCGTGAGGAGGCCGTGGAGGGATTCTGTGATGCTTTCGGTTATCCCCATGAACTCGTTGTTCGCGGGGGATGGGATCGCGTGTTGGGCCACAAGGTGGCTTACGGTCGCCATGGCGTTGTGGAGACTGAACGGAAACACCATCGAGGCGCTCCATGTGGAGCGTTCCGGAGAGAGGGTGAGGTGACGCGGGGCCTCCCTAGATGGCTGGGGTCCAAGGGAGACGTCGGGCTGGCACTCAAGCCTCCGGTAGCCGGAGCCGATGGAGGGGAGAGATTGGATGGTGAGATGGGCCAACGCCAACTCTCCTCCCCCGTGACGATGAAGTTCAGGTCACCGAAATGCACGTGTGCGCCTGGGACCCAGCTGATTGCGTGGTTAGCCATCCGAGGCCTGATTTGGAACGCGCAAAGGCCCCTACCTGGCGCGCTAATTGTCCGTGTTTCGAATAAACACCGACTAGTAAATTTGTAATTATTGCGCATTAGGCCCGGACGGTGTACTAAAGGACACAAGGTTTATACTGGTTCGGGCTAAACGTCCCTACGTCCAGTCTGCTGCTGCTCGTGTTATTAGTACCGAAAATGGTTTGTAGTAGGGGGTACAAACGGTCGAGAGAGGGACGGGTCCTAAGTATCTGATGGAATGGTCGACAGGTCGCCGAGAGCTTAGTCGCTACTCAGCTGTGAGTGATGTGTGTTGTTAAATCATGTCGGTTTATCTCTCTGTCAGTTTATTCGTCCCTTTAGCGGGGTTCCCTGGCCTTCCTTTTATAAAACTAGGGGCCAAGGAGCCCCTCCAAAGGTGTTGGGTCCTCCTTTTCCGCTAAGCTTGACCACGAGAGGCGGTCGACAAATGTCGAGGATTGGCACGTTCGCCGGACGCTTTGTGTCTTGTGACGACGCCACGCGCCTTACCGGATCAAAGCAAGTGGTCACGCCCCATCCCCCCCGCCCCCCCTCAGGCGGCGTGTTGGACAAGGGTGTTGATCTATAGCCCTGTAGGGAGCGGACAACGCGATGACTGTATGTTCGTCACTGTAGAGGGCGCGAGTCTCTTCTTGGACCGTAGTGGTTGTCGTGTGTCTATGTCAGGTTCCACGCCCGAGGGCTAAAGGCGGCGCCTACAACACTATTCGGACTCTGCCATGCCCGGAATGGTCTAAAGCGCCAGTCCCGTCGTACCCTGATGGTACTTTCCGACAGCGGTGCAGGGCATGGTCCTTGGTACTGTGTTTGACTCGAATGTCCTGTCGTACCTTGTGCTCGTCATTATGAAGGAGCAGGGTTTAATTGTCGGGCGAGGCGGAGTCTGTCCTCGGCCATCGGGCAAGGCGGAGCCTGTCCTCAACCGTTGGGCGAGGCGGGACCTGCCCTCGGACGTCGGGCTAGGCGGAGCCAGCCCTCGGGGGTCGGGCGAGGCGAAGCCTGCCCTCGAACGTCGGGTGAGGTGGAGCCAACCCTCGAGGGTCGGGCGAGGCGGAGCCAGCCCTTAGCCGTTGGGCGAGGCGGAGCCTAGCCCTCAGAGGTCGGGCGAGGCGGAACCAGTCTTCCGTCGTTCGGATAAGAAACGCAGTAGCATTCTCGTCTGATCGGAAGTGTCAACGTTGAAAGCTCTAGTTTGGTTTTGGTTAATTGATGAAACCCTAAGTGCTAACCTAGTTTATTAAGATGTTTATGAGATAGGTAGCACTACTCCAAGTGATGAAGCAATGACGAAGATCATGACAATGGTGATAGCATGGTGATGATCAAATGCTTGAACTTGGAAAAGAAGAAAGAGAAAAACAAAAGGCTCAAGGCAAAGGTATAAAATATAGGAGCCATTTTGTTTTAGTGATCAAGACACTTAGTGAGTGTGATCACATTTAGGATAGATAGCCGTACTATTAAGAGGAGTGTAACTCGTATCGAAATGCGGTTATCAAAGTGCCACTAGATGCTCTAACTCATTGCATATGCATTTAGGATCTAGTGGAGTGCTAACACCCTTGAAAATATTTGTGAAAATATGCTAACACATGTGCACAAGGTGTTTGCGGGGTTGAGATGGGTTTGGGTCCCTCTTTGGGATTATGAGGCGGGATTCAGCGCTTTTGGAAAAATGAAATGTCTATTTTCTATTGCACCGGATGCAAAATTCTTGGTGGTTGGCACATTTGAGCAAGGGTAAAGAAGTTAGAGTTGAAATGGAGTTGGTCGAAATGATCTTTGGCGTCGGTCTCATCGACCGGATTTGAGTCACTCAAATGACCGGACGACTGAAAAGGCTGCGTCCCGGTCGGTATCGACGGCTCGAAGAGGAAGGTTGAGCACCGGACGACTGGTCTCACGTCCGGTCAAGGTGGACCGGACGCGTCCGGTCGAAGAAATAAGCCTCGGGGAGCTTATCGAAACGACGACGGACCGGGGCTTCAGCGTCCGGTCGATTTTTTTGACCGGAGTGTCCGGTCCACCAGAGCCGTTAAAATCGACGAACATCGTTTGTAGCTGGTGACGCGTGGCGTCCCATCGGCGACCGGACGCCGAGGGGCGGCGTCCGGTCGGTATGTATGACCGGAGCGTCCGGTCGAAAGAGCGTGTTTTGCCCAAAGTGAAGGGTATAACGGCTCTATTTGATGGGGGGCTCTATTTATAGCCCCATGGCCGACTCAAGGAAACTCTCTTGCACATTTTCATTGACATAGCAACATTGTGAGCTTAGCCAAAGCCCTCTCACTCATCTCCATCATTGATCCATCATCATTGTGAGATTGGGAGAGAATCCAAGTGCATTGCTTGAGTGATTGCATCTAGTGGCACTTGGTATTCGTGTTTATACCATGGATTTCGCTTGTTTCTCTTGGTGGTTGCCACCACCTAGACGGTTGGAGCAGCGGTGAAGGATCGGCACGAGTTGGTGATTGTTCGTGGGCGCCTTTCGGTGATTGTGAGGGGAGTTGTACCTTCCCGCGGAGTGCCAAAAGGTAACTCTAGTAAATTGCTCGTGTCATTGAGTTACCTCACTTGTGGGTCGATTCTTGCGGTGTCCTATCGTGTGGGACGAGGTTTGTGAAACACCTCTTAGCCGCCGAACCACCAAGTGTTGGTCGACACAACGGGGACTAGCGTGTTGGCAAGCACGTGAACCTCGGGAGAAAAATCGGTAGTCTCTTGTCATTCGCATTCTCCCGGTGATTGGCTATATATTCATCGTGTAATTGGTTCACTCCACGACCCGGCGGTATAATCGTCTCACTTACTCATTTACATTTCCGCAAACTAGATATAGCAAGCTCTTTAGTGTAATTAGAATTGAGAGCTTGCCTTGTGCTTTAAACATATCTAGTGGAGCTCTTTAGTGTAGCTTTTGTGAGAGCTCTTAGTGAGTAGTGGTCAAGTAGATTGTGTGCAAATAGATCATTGCAACTAGAATTGTTGGATAGGTGGCTTGCAACCCTTGTAGAGCTAGAGCAAGTTTGCATTTCGCTATTTGTCTTACTAATCAAATTGCTCTAGTTGATTTGTAGTTTTTAAATAGGCTATTCACCCCCCTCTAGCCATATTAGGACCTTTCAAACGTTCGATGGTCATTAGTTCCACCTCATTAGGTACCCCGGTATTAGGTCCCCGACAAGCCTGCGCCGCCTGTTTTTGCGCCCCACCACGTGGACCCCACGCTGCTTCCCTCCCTGACTTATCATGTTTGCTCTGTTTTGCGTGCACACTCGAGACTGCCCAACATCCAGATGAAACACTTGCAACATATGTCTAAAACCGATGAAACACTTGCAAACATACGTATGAAACACTTGAAAAACACCTGAAAACACTTGAAACACGTTTGTAGCCATTGTAAACATATGCAACATCTAGATCTACTTTTGCAACATCCAAATAAAACACTTGCAACATACATATGAAATACCTGAAATACGCTTCAACATGCATGTTATGCAACATCTAGATCTACTTCTGCAACATCCAGCACTTGAAACATACGTCTGCAACATCCATATAGCCATTGCAAATATATCCAACATCCACATAAAACACTTAAAAACATACGTCTGCAACATCTGAAACACGGCATCGCCAGCGACCACGGCACGTCACGGCATGAAGCTAGGGTCGGTGGTGGCGTGGCTCCCTGTCGCGGTGTCTTCGGTCGGCGGTGACCTTCTCCTGGTGGCGCCAGGGTGAGGCGGAGTGGGGCGGGGCAGACGGGCCTCGCGGCCGCCGCATACAGATGGCTCGGTGGAGGTGGCCGCGACAGCGCAATAAAGGCGACAGTCAATGGGGAAATGTTTTAGAAAACACGCAGTAGACAGATGAGTTGGGAGGCCGCGGACCGGTCCGCACACCGCACTCCGTCCGGACGGACGTAAGGCGTGACCCCAGCGTTACGGTATACCTTGTCTTTATGCCCCCCGCGGCATCTGCGCATGCGATGCTCTTGACTTCCTCTCCGGGAACAACATTGCAGAAAAAATCGAAGAGAAACCCAAACCACGGCCTTGTTTAGATTGTAACTTTTTTCAATCTGATGAATAGTATCATTTTCGTTTTATTTGGCAAATATTGTCCAATCGTGGACCAATTAGGCTCAAAAGATTCATCTCGTGATTTCCAACTAAACTGTATAATTAGTTATTTTTTTACCTATATTTAATACTCAATACAAGCGGCTAAAAATTGACATGATGAAGAGAGAGTGAAAAAACTTGGAACTTTGATGGATCTAAACAAGGCCCACAAAAACAAACAGAACAGCCTGCTCCTTGTGCACTGCAGACTGCAGTGATGCGACGCCTATGTACATCACCTCTGACTTACGCTCTCCTGGACCTGGGGCTCCTGAGCATCCTCCATTCCCCGAGTTGAGGAGGCTGTAGCGCCGCCAACTCTTATCCAATGGATTCCTCTCTTGTCCTAGCGCTAATCGCCGTCGCCTTGCCCGTGCTCCTCCATCTCCTAACGAGGGTAAAGAAGCCACGGCGGCCGGCCGCGGGCAAGCTGCCGCCGGGCTCCCTGGGCCTGCCGGTGATCGGCCAGAGCCTCGACCTTCTCCGCGCCATGCGCGCCAACACCGCCGAGCGTTGGATCCAGGACCGGATCCACCGGTACGGCCCGGTGTCCAAGCTGTCGCTGTTCGGCGCGCCGACGGTGCTCCTCACGGGGCCCGCGGCCAACAAGTTCATCTTCTTCAGCAGCGCCCTGGCGTTGCAGCAGCCCCGGTCAGTCCAGAGGATCCTTGGGGACAAGAGCATCCTGGAGCTCATGGGCGCCGACCACAAGCGGATCCGCGGCGCGCTGGCCGAATTCCTAAAGCCGGACATGCTGAAGCTGTACGTGGGCAAGATCGACGGCGAGGTGCGGCGCCACCTCGACGAGTGCTGGGCCGGCCGCCGCTCCGTCACGGTGATGCCGCTCATGAAGAGGCTCACGTTCGACATCATCTCCCTGCTGCTCTTCGGCCTCCAGCGGAGCCCGCTCCAGGACGAGCTTGCCGGCGACTTCGCGCAAGTCATGGATGGCATCTGGGCCGTCCCGGTGAACCTGCCGTTCACGGCGTTCAGCCGGAGCCTCAGGGCCAGCGCCAGGGCTCGCCGGTTGATCGCCGGGATCTTACGGGAGACCAGGGCCAAGCTGGAAAGGGGCGAGGCCTCCCGGAGCAGCGACCTCATCGCATGCCTGCTCAGTCTGACCGACGACAGCGGCGCGCGGCTGCTGAGCGAGGACGAGATCGTGGACAACTCCATGGTGGCCCTCGTCGCCGGCCACGACACGTCGTCCATCCTCATGACGTTCATGGTCCGCCACCTCGCCAACGACCCGGACACCCTCGCCGCCATGGTCCAAGGTGAGAAACCCAACTAGAACGCAACGTTCCCGCGTCGTCTTCGCTATGCTTTGAGGTGACCGCCGCCGTGGCTCGCGATGCAGAGCACGAAGAGATCGCAAAGAACAAGGGCGACGGCGAGGCCCTGGACTGGGAGGACCTGGCGAAGCTGAAGTACACGTGGCGCGTCGCGCTGGAGACCCTTCGCGTGGTGCCTCCCATCTTCGGCAACTTCCGGCGAGCCATACAGGACATCGAGTTCGACGGCTACCTCATCCCGAAAGGATGGCAGGTGTTCTGGGCGGCGAGCGTGACGCACATGGACGCGGGCATCTTCCACGAGCCGGCCAAGTTTGACCCGTCTCGGTTCGAGAACCAGTCGGCGGCAGCGGCGCCACCGTGCTCGTTCGTCGCGTTCGGCGGGGGTCCGAGGTTCTGCGTCGGCATGGAGTTCGCCAGGATCGAGACGCTGGTGACGATGCATTACCTCGTCAGGCGATTTAGGTGGAAGCTCTGCAGCAAGAACGACACCTTTGCCAGGGACCCCATGCCGTCGCCGCTGCACGGCCTGCCCATAGAACTTGAGCAGAAGGCATCGCCATGATCGTCACAAAATTTGGCAGCAGCTCTGCATAACAGCGTTACAATAGAAAGGCACTCTATAAGATAATGCATCTCATTTGCCAATTGGATCACAGAAGAAACGCATGCACTATAGCAAATCAGAGAGTTTAACAGTGTACGAAAACAGCTTCACTTTTCTTGTGGCGTCCATGCTGTACAATTCAATGATTGATGAGCACGTCATCACCGCTGATAATCTTGTTTGGTACAGTGTTTGCCTCGCTAAAATACAACTGATATCATAGATGATTTTGTTGTCTTCACATTTAATTGCCATAGAAACAGCATGTACACCAGACGACCCAAGCTCCAGCAGACTCACTCCACACTCACCGGGGTATAAACCTTGTTGCCACCAGTTGATATCTTGTACACGTAAAATATCAATACCATTGCACTGCAAATGAATGACAGAAGGAAATGATGTCATCACGGGGCCTGCTGTCAGGACACAAGCCTGCGACTAAAGAATGGCATAGTGAAGGTCACCGGATTGCTAATTTGCAATAACTAAAGTGTGCAAGGATAATGCAAGTAGAATGTTTAGCCAAACTTTGGAGCCATGTTCGGTGCTCCATCTGCAGTGGACAAGAATTGAAGTTCAGGAACTAAATAACTCATTTTGTTCAGATCATTTGGGCATTTTGCATGATTGTAGCTATGCTATTGTACTTGAAAAAGACAACAATAAGGAGCACCCAAATCGTAGATAGAGATATAACAATGCAAAGCTATGGTCATGCTTGGCCGGACACACCAGAGACGTCGACATAGAATGTATCAGGACCGAAGGCCAGCAAACACGTCCAGTTCAAGTGGCTAAGTTTGTTTAGGCTTTGTTGGAGTCATAGTAACTTAGTTTATGAGAGCAATAACTTAGTTAACACAGAGGAGAGGGAGGCTACATATGCAGCTTGATAACCCGTGAGTTAGGCAAACAAGAAGTTAAAACCCAGTACCCTTTATCTGACCTTGTCTTTGTTGGTGCCGTCAACACGGTTGCCAAGTTCAAGCGCTCAGCTACTCACCGCACATATGTACAATCTACACCCACATCAATATCCATCCCCATGCTGTGACAACTATATAGATGTACAGTAGCAGTTTCCATGTCATAGGTAGTGTAGCTGTCAAAGCAGTAATAGTTGGAATTTTCCAGACTGAGAAATGGTCAGTGCTTTTCAGTAGGTTCAGGCAATCAGTATATAGCCTGACCTCAAAAGATATGAAAGATAAAAACTGAAACTAACTAGTATAAATTGCTGCCACACATAATTTGTTTATGCTCAGCTTATGATATATGCTGATTACTTTGGTGGTTGGTGGTTGGTGCCTGTGTTCCCATCTTTTCATTGAGTTCTTATGATCCCTAGACTCCAGTGGAGACTATTTCTAGTTTATTATTGCTGAATCATGATTAACACTTGCTCCATGATCTGTTTGTACAGGTTTACTTAAGCAAATCAGAGTAAAATGCACATCTGATTCTTTGGATTGTTGAATACTTATATAGTTCAATCTCCTTGCTTAATGTTAACCATTTTTAACATGGAGTAAAAATTGAAGCAAACCATTAACCATCACTTATTGAGTTTTGTAGTTGTCCGAAATATTGAAGGGCGGGCCTGGTGCAAGCGGTAGAGTCTTACCGCCTGTGACCGGAAGGTCCCGGGTTCGAGTCGCGGTCTCCTCGCATTGCACAGGCGAGGGTAAGGCTTGCCACTGACACCCTTCCCCAAACCCCGCACAGAGCGGGAGCTCTCTGCACTGGGTACGCCCGTAGTTGTCCGAAATATTATTGCAAAAGATACTGCAAACCGACAACATAGTAGCCTTGGGTCGACCTATAATACGGCCATTGGGCAGTGAGACCAAAGCCTTTAGCTGAACTGGGCCGCTCCGTGGCCTTTCAAATTGTCCTTGAGGCCACGGGGCCTGGTCCAAGGCCAGGTTCAGGCCGGTCCATTCCCATCCTGACATATATCTCTGAAAATCTTACTCGGACCCGAGTATGAACAATATAAACTGTTTGCAATGAAAGTTCAATATAGAAATGAAACTTGTCGAACAAGTTAGCATCTTCATATATTTATATCAAACACCAGGTTGCAACTCCCTCTGTCTACTGAGGGTTAGCCTTGTTATGCAGTGGGGCACATAAGTTTAGCTTCAACAGAACAAAAAAAAAAGAATTATGCACCACATAATCAAACGAAATTAACTTACTGGCATAACGTGTAGGACCAAATCATGTAACATTAGGAGATTGAATACATATATATATAAGAACTTGGCACAACAAACTCGTGCCCTTATGAAGAAGGGAGGATTGAGCAAACCTGATAGCAGCAATAATTCCAGCGGGCATTATCTTTCGTGTTTTGGCGTATCTTATTCCCATGACAACAGTCAATAGCACAGCACAAACTGTTAAAAAAACAAGGTTAGAAGATATACTAACTGATGAATACCATGCATAAGACCGTAGAGTTTGGACACATCATAGACCTAAATAGTAAATTACAAATGAGCAGTTCTTCCAATCAATGTTAGTGACCAAATCATGGAAATGGATCAAATTTATCATACAAAATTACAAATATACATATAATCATATTTCCCTCTAAATCAAAGCACTCAGCTAGAGCATACACTAGTGAAGCAACAGTTGGGAACTAGCATACTGCATACCAAGTTTCTGTAGTAGTCAACCAATTCAATAATAGGGTGTTTGGTTTGTGGAATGAAGTGGTCCATCATCATCTCACTCTCTAGTATTTTGTTTGGTTTGTGGAATAGAATGAGTTGATCCATCACCACCCTATTCCTCACAAGCTAATAATTAGTACTAGTATGAGGAATGGGACATTCCACTAAATTTGAGGAATGGACTCATGATGCATCACTCCATCTAGAATGAGTTGATTTCTCAAACCAAACACACCTAAGAGTTTTCAGTTCAGTGGAAATGGGGATGATAACAGCGTGACTGCATTGGGAGACAATTATTAGGAACTGAAAATGTTGTGCATTCTGCAGGATACTGACTTATCAACATCCCATCATGTACATTTAGCCGCAAACCTAATGTCACTGCAACAGCAGATTTCATGCCCAGAGTCGAAATCGCTACAATCACTGTGCGACCTAGGATTCCCGCAGCTGCAGTTCCAGTGTTACCACAGGAAAGCATGAATCCGTGCAGACACTTGTGGCTCCACCGGTCAACCCAAACAATTACGATTCACGAGCGGTCGACCACTACTGAGCAGAGAAGGCAATCAAGCTAAGAGAGAGGATGAGGAAAGAGAGCGGCGGTAGGCAACGGACCGATCTGAATGACGGTGGCCAAGATGGCCGCAGCGCCACCCCCGCCGTGCCCAAAGGACCAGGCGCTGAGCGCGCCGGCGAGGAGGAGCGCGGCGCCAAATCCGCCCCCCACGGCCAGAGAGGCGGCGCTGCCGCGCTTCACGTAGCCGGCGACGCCGCCGGCTAGGAGCAGCAGGCCGTAGGGGATCGTGACGTAGAAGTCCTCCATGCCGATGCCTACTTGCCTAGGCCGCACTGTCCTTTCCCCTCGTGCTCTCGGTTGGGCGCTTTTCTTCCGGTGGCTTCCGTTGGTCGCCGGGGCCAAACTGAGGCTGACGGCGGAGCGGACTTGCCGGTGGGCCCGTGGCAGCGAGAAGCCGAGGAGACGACTCTTTTGAGTAGCCTTGGGCTGGCTCCGCGTCCTGGGCCTTCGCCATCTGCCCACTTGATGGGCCTTCGCCAACCTACTTTTTATGTTTTTTATATATATAAGAGAAAAAAGAAAGACCAAATGATAGGTGGACTCAACTACCATGTCACCATAACCATACAAGAAACCACTTTAAATGGTCAAGCGGGGGATTTTGTCGAGTGTAACCTATTTGACAACTAACCTAATGCTTCATGCTCCAACCAAGCATATAGAGGTCGATTTCCACTTTGTTCGAGAGCAGGTTGCACATAATGCTTTACATGCCTGGTTCATTTCCACAAATCAACTAGCAAACATTTCCACCAAGGCATTGTCAAGATCACTGTTCAACATGATATGTGACAATCTCAACTTCATGAACCATGGCTGAGATTGAGGGAGGTTATTAAAATTTTTATGTGTAACGGTATGTTAATCTTGCAACACATGACAACCATTTTACAAATAACACTATCATATTACAAAACAATATTACAGTGCACTCTTACAATACTTCCTGGCATCATGTTCACTCGCCAAGTATGATCCACGAATCGTAGCATAAGGGCAACTCCAATTTAGTGGTGAGCCAACTCATAAAAAAAGCACAACCATGCGTCGTATGTTCGGTATCGGTGTGAATCTTCTCTCTACTTATATGTACTAAACCATCATGCGAGGCCGATTCAGCTTGAACCGTTCAACAACTTGAAAGACAACAAAGCAGGTTTTTGTTTGTGTTACTGTACACACATATTTGTTCATTAATGATAATACTTCGACTCTTCAAACCATTGTTTTTCTTCATTATTGGAGATGCAACGCACGGGTCGGCGGAGCTATATACATTCCAGGGGTGCCAACACATAACACATTCATAACAAATGCAAAAGCTGTTATTATGGTTAAATTTTCACTATCCTTGCACACAAAGACATAAATTCATGCATACAAGACAAGTACATCTCGAATTTTGGTAGCTTCGCCTGTTGTTGTCTTGGTGGCTCTGCACCATGACCCAATCAAAAGAAATCAACCCTTGAACAAAACTAAGGAGACAAAAATGAAACAAATTAGTACAAATCTCAAAGAAATATAGACCATTAAAAAGCCAAGTACAACCAACTACTGATTGAATACTAAAGGCTAGTTGTTAGTCAGCTAAAGATTTGCTAAAATTATTAGTCTTAGCCTTTCTAAATAGGAGGCTAGTAGGTGGACTAATTATTTAGCCACAAGTCTCAAACTATCTGTTAACAAACTAGCCAGTAGCCCTCGCTGATCAAGCATCCCTTCGAAATGGTTGCCACGTACAAGTAATTTAGATTCTTATAAAGTCGTCCAGTTTAATGTAATTCATAATTTCTAAGTCCTGACACGGGGCAGATACTCCATCCGTCCCTAAAAGAATGCAATTCTGGAACAATATCATGTTTTAGTATACAAAGTTTGACCAATTATAAATAAAAAGTATAAATATTTATAATATCAAATAAATATCATTAGATTAATTACGAAATATATTTTTATAATAAATTAATTTGAAGCCATAAATATGAATATTATTTATTAAAAACTTGGTTAAACATGAAATACTTAAACTGGCGTGCATACTATAATATTATAATTGTATCTTTTTAGGGACAAATGTAGTACATGTTAAATCATCCCATCCCAAGAGGCAAATACATGTCTAATGCCCCTGCGGCATCTGCGCATGCGATGCTCTTGACTTTTTTTTTAGACAAGATGCTCTTGACTTTTGTAACGCGTCCGTTCGGCTGCTTGTAACCCTTGTAACGCGCCCTTGTTTAGTCGCTGGAATTTGGATTTTGGAGCTATTGTAGCACGTTCGTTTTTATTTGGCAAATAGTATTCAAATATGACAGGCTCAAAATGTTCGTCTCGTAATTTCCCACCAAACTGTGTAATTAGTTTATCTTTTCGTCTATATTTAATGCTCCATACATATACATAGACCGCAAATATTCGATGTGACAGATACTGTAGCAACTTTTTCGAAGTTAGGGTGAAACTAAACACGCTGTGAACTTTTGTGATAGCCGGGTGCTTTGCTGGCTGCTGCAGCAGCCGAAGCAGCTGTGGAAACCGGCCACCGACCAGGCATAACAAACAGAGCAGCCTGCTCCTCGTACACCACAGACTGCAGTGATGCGACGCCTATGTATATCACCTCTCCTAGACCTCGACTCCTGAGCTGAGCATCCTCCGGGCCTTCTTTAGGGGTTAGAAATCAGTATTTAACACTGTAGTATTTTCGTTTATATTTGACAATTATTATCTAATTATGGTCTAACTAGGCTCAAAAAATTCGTCTCGTAATTTATAATCAAACTATGTAATTAGTTATTTTTTTATCTATATTTAATACTTCATACATGTGTCCAAAAATTTGATGTGATAGAGAGAGTGAAAAAACTTACAATCTAAACAAGGCCCCATTCCTCTTCCTCTTGAGTTCAGGAGGTTGCAGCATCACCAACTTCTCCAATGAATTCCTCTCTTCTCCTAGCGCTAATCGCCGTCGCCTTGCCCGTGCTCCTCCATCTCCTAACTGTTGGATATAATATGGACTTGGCCCATATAATATTTAATAAATCAAATAAAACTCTATGGCACGTAACATTAAGTGTTGTATGGCTTAATACCATACGAGATTTTGACTGAACGCTGACTCAGCTTATATGGTTGGAAATTATTCATCTAAATTGAGAAGCTAAGAAAAGGATAAAGGCGTGCTACACGCGCGCACGCCGCCGTGGCCGTGCCGAGGCGGGCGGGCGGGCGTGGCTAGTCTTTTGCCACTTAAATCCACATTATCACGGGAGTTTTGCTCCTTAATGGTGGAGGCGAATTGACTGCGTCAGTTACCGTCACTTCCGCTTCCCGTCTCCGTCTTTTTCCTGGTGATTCGTTCGTGGGACTGCACTGCGAACATCGTCCTGCACCGACTGTGGTCCACGACTTCGAGCAACGCACTATGTCGACTAGTGCGAATGGAGCCTCCAATGCCCTCGGCATGGGACCCTCCGCTGGGTATAGTGTTCATTAGAAATATACACATGCACATATATGCCGTTACGAACCTGCTGATGTTACTTTTCTGGATTAAACCGATAATGAAAATGCCTAAATTTCTAACAATCCAAAAACCTAATGTTAGGCAATTTTCTATCAGTGGTTTTACTGCTGCTTTGAAGCCAAATAATTTTGATGGCAAGAATTTCATGATATGGCGTGACAAGATGGTATTGTGGTTGACTGCGATTAACTGCTATCACGCCACGCAGGGGAAGCCTGAACAATTTACTTCTGAGGAGGAGCAAAAGTTCTTGGCTGCCGATAACTTGTTTCGAGGCGCCGTGATTAGTACACTTCATCCCAAGTATGAGAAAAACTACATATCTTGTACATCAGGCAAAGAGTTATGGGATGCTCTTGAGGCAAAGTTTGGGGTTTCTGATGCTGGCAGTGAGCTGTACCTTATGTAGCAGCTGTATGACTACAAAATGGTTGAAAACCGTTATGTGGTCGAACAGGCTCATAAGATACAGGCGCTAGCGAAGGAACTAGAACATTTCCCATGTCTGTTGCCCGACAAGTTTGTAGCCGACGGTATAATCGCTAAGCTGCCACATTTTTGGAGGGATTTTGCTACTTCTCTAAAATACAAGAGACAAGAGTTTAGCGTGGCTGAGCTTATTGGATCTCTTGATGTTGAGGAGAGGGCGAGAGCAAAAGACAACCGTGGAAAAAGAGTTGAGTCTTCCGCTGCCAATATGGTGCAGAAGAAAAACTCATTTGCATCTCGTAATAAAAAGAAGAAGAAGAACATGCAAGAGAACAACAATGCAAAACCTAAGCAGACTGCACAGTTTAAGAAGAAAAACAACAAGAAAGGTGGAGGATGCTTTGTTTGCGGGAGTGATGAGCATTGAGCAAGTGCGTGCCCAGACCGCAAATATAAGCAAGAAAAGAAATTAGCAAACATGGTAATTAACGAGACTGGAGGAGGAACATCTCGATATAGTAATTCTTTACCTTTTGTTCTTTCAGTTGTCTTTTACCTGAGTGGTGGATGGACAGTGGTGCTAATATTCATATGTGTGCTGATGTTTCTTTGTTTATTTCCTATCAGGCCGGCAGGAGTGGAGCCTTGCTGATGGGAAACGGTTCGTATGTGCGTGTTCTTGGTGCTGATACGGTTGTTCTGAAGTTTACTTCGGGAAAGATGGTGCTATTAAAGAACATGCAGCATGTCCTCTCCATCAAAAAAGAACCTTGTTAGCGCTTCTCAGATATGTCGCGATGGTTTTAAAATTGTGCTTGAGTCCAATAAGTGTGTTGTATCGAGACATGGAATATTTGTTGGAAAAGGTTATGATTGCGGAGGCTTGTTCCGCTTATCTTTGCTTGATGATGCGTGTAATAAAGTAGTGAACAATGTTAATGTTTCGGATGAGTCGAATATATGGCATTCACGACTTTGTCACATCAATTTTGGCTGTCTCACGCGGCTTGCAAATCTAAATTTAATCCTAAAATTTAACTTAGTCAAAGATTTTAAGTGCCAGGTGTAAGTGCAATCGAAGCAACCGCGCAAGCCTCACAAGGTTGCTGAGGCGAGGAACTTGGCATCATTAGAACTCGTTCATTCTGATTTATGCGAAATGAATGGCGAATTGACTAAATGCGGTAGACGATACTTCATGACATTTATAAAGTTGAGGTAGAAAATCAACTTGAGAAGAAAATCAAGCGTTTACGGTCCAATCGCGGGGGAGAATATTTCTCAAATCAATTTTCTGAATTTTGCGCGGTGCATGAAATTATTCATGAGAGGACGTCACCATACTCACCACAGTGCAATGGGATTGCAGAGAGAAAGAACCGCACTCTAACTGATTTGGTTAATGCCATGTTGGAGACTACGGGACTATCTAAGGAATGGTGGGGTGAGGCTATATTGACAGTGTGTCATGTCCTAAATAGAGTGCCCATAAAGAACAAAGAAATCACACCATTCGAGGAATGGGAGAAGAAGAAATTAAATCTCTTTTACCTGTGAACTTGGGGTTATTTGGCAAAGGTGAATGTGCCAATAAACAAAAAGCGAAAGCTTGGACCAAACACTGTTGATGGTGTCTTTCTTGGTTATACTATTCACAGCGTGGGTTATAGATTTTTAATTATAAACTCTAGTGTTCATGAGATGGCTGTTGATACAATCATGAAATCTAGAGACGCTACATTTTTTAGAATGAGTTTCCCATGAAGAATGCACCTAGCACAACTTATCATGAATTTATAATTCCCTATGAGCATGAAAATTTTATTCTGATAGAACAAATTGAGGAACCCTATGTGCAAAATTCTAAGGAGGATGACACTATACTCACCAGAAAAAGTAAGAGACAGAGGACTGCAAAGTCTTTTGGTGATGACTATATTGTGTATCTTGTGGATGACACACCAACGACCATTGAAGAGGCATATTCCTCTCCTAATGCTGACTTATGGAAGGAAGCAGTACGGAGTGAGATGGATTCTGTTATGTCTAATGGAACTTGGGAAATAGTTGATCGTCCCTATGGGTGCAAGCCTATAGGTTGCAAATGGGTGTTCAAGAAAAAGCTTAGGCCTGATGGTACTATTGAGAGGTATAAGGTAAGGCTTGTGGCCAAGGGTTATACTCAAAAGGAAGGTGAGGATTTCTTTGATACTTATTCATTGGTTGCCCGATTGACCACAATTCGAGTTTTGCTTTCCCTGACAGCCTCTTATGGTCTCATCGTTCATTAAATGGACGTTAAGACAGCTTTCCTAAACGGAGAGTTGGAGGAAGAGATCTATATGGATCAGCCTGATGGTTTTGTAGCAAATGGTCAAGAAGGCAAAGTGTGTAAATTATTAAAGTCATTATATGGCCTAAAACAAGCTCCTAAGCAATGGCATGAGAAGTTCGACAGAACTTTAACATCTGCTGGCTTTGTTGTGAATAAAGCTGACAAATGTGTGTACTATCGGTATGGTGAGGGTGAAGGAGTCATTTTGTGCTTATATGTTTATGACATACTGATTCTTCGATCTAGCCTTAAAGTGATCGAGGAGGTGAAGGAATTTCTATCTAAAATTTTTTGAGATGAAAGATTTGGGAGAGGCTGATGTTATTCTTAATATCAAGCTTCAAAGAGAAGGTGATGGTGGGGTAACTCTGTTACAAACCCACTATGTGGAAAAGGTGCTGCGTTGCTTTGGGTTCAGTGACTGTGCACCTGCTCCTACACCTTATGACCCTATCGTGCTATTGAGGAAAAATCAGAGAATAGCAAGGGATCCGTTGAGATATTTCTATATCATTGGTTCGCTCATGTATCTTGCTAGTGCAACAAGGCCTGACATCTCATTTGCTGTGTGCAAGCTGAGCCAGTTTGTGTCAAACCCGGGAGATGATCACTGATGTGCTCTTGAGAGAGTAATGCGCTACCTAAAAGGGACCATGAGCTATGGTATTTGTTATACCGGACATCCAAAAGTGTTGGAAGACTATTGTGATGCCAACTGGATTTCTGATGCTGATAAGCTTTATGCCACAAGTGGATATATGTTTTCGTTTGGAGGTGGTGCTGTTTCCTGAAAGTCTTGCAAGCAGACTATCTTAACGAAGTCTATAATAGAAACATAACTCACAGCATTAGACACTGCTGGATCTGAGGCTGAGTGCCTTCGTGATCTCCTTATAGATTTATCGGTTGTTGAAAAACCCATACCGGCTATTTCTATGAACTGTGATAACCAGACTGTGATTACGAAGGTTAACAGTTCTAAGGATAACATGAAGTCCACAAGGCATGTTAAGAGACGACTAAAATCTGTCAAAAAATTGAGAAACTCCGGAGTAATAGCGTTGTACTATGTTCACACGTCTAACAATCTAGCAGATCAGTTCACTAAGGGTTTGTCACGCAACGTAATAGAAAGTGCATCGAGAGAGATGGGTTTGAGACCCACTTAAAATTTACTATAGTGGTAACCTGTTCTATGTGATCGGAGATTCCGTAAAGTAGGATGGTGGAACAAGCTAGTAGTAAATTATGAGGAAAGATCCTTAGTAAGACTCATTTCTGATGCATATCTTTCCTTTCTGTAAGGCATGCTGGCTTTTGCCTTAATGTGTTCCAAGTGGCTTGTCAAAGCAAAGATGTTGTCCTACAGAATATCTTTTGAGGAACACACCTATATGAGTTAGACTGCTGGTCACAGTCTATGAGATTTGGGTGATCTCTAAATACTCATGCAAGGCACTGAAGTATGACTTATATGCTTCAAATAGAGGAGATGTCTTTTGCTGCCCAGTATCAGCTAAGGACTTGAGTGACATTCACCTCACACCAAACTGTCAATTCAAGGCTTAGTCTATTGTTCAGTTGTGACTGAGTGAAACTATTATTCTAGATGGATGTTCAAATTAACAGTCTCCATCAAAACACTGGTATATAAAAGAAATATGGTTCTGAATCTACTTTGTTACAAACCCTAGAGTTTGGTGGGGATTATTGATATAATATGAGCTTGGCCCATATAATATTTAATAAATCAAATAAAACTCTATGATATGTAACATTAAGTGTTGTATGGCTTAATACCATATGGGATTTTGACTAAACGCTGACTTAGCTTATATGGTTGGAAATTATTCATCTAAATTGACAAGCTAAGAAAAGAATAAAGGCGTGCCACACGCGCGCGCGCCGCCGCCACCGCCGGCCGGGCCGGGCCATGGCCGTGGCCGTGGCCGTGGGCGCGGGCCGTGGCTGTGCCGTGGTGAGGCGAGGCAGGCAGGCGGGCGGCGAGTGAGCGAGCGGGCGTGGCCAGTCTTTTGCCACTTAAATCCACATTATAACGGGAGTTTCGCTCCTTGATGGTGGACGCGAATTGACTGCGTCAGTTACCGTCCCTTCTGCTTCCCGTCTCCTAGGATTCTCCGCTGCTTTTGTCTCCTTCCCCGGTCGCAGCCATATATCTGCAGTCCTCCGTCAGTCCAGACCCGATCTTCCGCAACCGCTCCTGAGAGAATCCACATCTCCATAGCCCTCTATCTTCCCCGTCCCGTACCTTTGCACGCACGGAGTAGCGGGAGAGCAGGTGCCTCCGGAAGCCTCGTCCGCGAGAGAACCTTGCACGGGGTGTGCGGCGATTAGGTTTTTAGGGAGCGATCCGCGACTGCTCGTCCAGATCCCGTCTCCTTCCCGGTGATTGCCCACGGAACCGCAAGTTGTCTTCTTCCTGGTGATCCGTTCATGGGACTGCACTGCGAACATCGTCCTGCACCGACTGTGGTCCGCGACTTCGAGCAACGCACTATGTCGACTAGTGCGAATGGAGCCTCCGATACCCTCGGCATGGGACCCTCCGCTGGGTACATTCTAATCTCTGTGATTACTATACTCGCTGCTAGTGTATTCATCTGTATGTCATCACTGCATGTTGTAGTGTTCATTAGAAACATACACATGCACATATATGCCGTCACGAACCTGCTGATGTTACTTTTCTGGATTAAACTGGTAGTGAAAATGCCTAAATTTCTAACACTAACGAGGGCAAATAAGCCACGGCCGCCGACCACGGCCAAGCTGCCCCCGGGGTCCCTGGGCCTGCTGGTGATCGGCCAGAGCCTGAGCCTTCTCCGTGCCATGCGCGCCAACACCGCCGAGCGTTGGATCCAGGACCGGATCCACCGGTACGGCCCGGTGTCCAAGCTATCGCTGTTCGTCGCGCCGATGGTGCTCCTCGCGAGGCCCGCGGCCAACAAGTACACCTTCTTCAGCAGCGCCATGGCGATGCAGCAGCCCGGTCGGTGCAGAGGATCCTCGGGGAGAAGTGCATCCTGGAGGTCATAGGCACCGACCACAAGCGGATTCGCGGCGCGCTGGCCGAGTTCCTCAAGCCAGACATGCTGAGGCTGTACGTGGGCAAGATCGACGGCGAGGTGCGGCGCCACCTCGACGAGTGCTGGGCCGGCCGCCGCACCGTCACGGTGATGCCGCTCATGAAGAGGCTAACATTCGACATCATCTGCCTGCTGCTCTTCGGCCTCAAGCGGAGCACCGGTGACTTCGAGCGCGTCATGGATGGTATCTGGGCCGTCCCGGTGAACCTGCCGTTCACGGCTTTCAGCCGGAGCCTTAGGGCTAGCGCCAGGGCTCGCCGGTTGATCGCCGGGATCTTACGGGAGACCAGGGCCAAGCTAGAAAGGGGCGAGGCCTCCCGGAGTAGCGACCTCATCGCGTGCCTGCTCAGTCTGACCGACCGCAGCGGCGCGCCGCTGCTGAGCGAGAAGGAGATCGTGGACAACTCCGTGGTGGCCCTCATCGCTGGCCACGACACGTCGTCCATCCTCATGGCGTTCATGGTCCGCCAGCTCGCCAACGACCCGGACACCCTCGCCGCCATGGTCCAAGATGAGAAACCCAACTAGAACGCACCGTTCTCAAGTCATATTCACTATGCTCTGAGGTGACCGTCGCCACGGCTCGCGACGCAGAGCACGACAACATCGCAAAGAGCAAGGGCCATGGCGAGGCCCTGGACTGGGAGGACCTAGCGAAGATGAAGCACACGTGGCGCGTCGCGCTGGAGACCCTTCGCTTGGTGCCTCCCATGTTAAGCGACTTCCGGCGAGCGTTACTGGACGTCGAGTTCGACGGCTACCTCATCCCAAAAGGATGGCAGGTGTTCTGGGTGGCGATCGTGACGCACATGGACCCGGACATCTTCCCCGAGCCGACCATGGTTGACCCATCTCGGTTCGAGAACCAGTCGGTGGCGGCGGCGCCACCGTTCTCGTTCGTCGTGTTCGGCGGGGGTCCGAGGATCTGTGTCGGCATGGAGTTCGCCAGGATCGAGACGCTTGTGACGATGCATTACCTCGTCAGGCGATTTAGGTGGAAGCTCTGCTGTAAGAACGACACATTTGCCAGGGACCCCATGCCATTGCCGCTGCACGGACTGCCCATAGAACTTAGCAGAAGGTATCGCCATGATTGTAAGACAAAACTTGGCAGCAGATCTGCATAACTGTGTTACGCTAGAAAGGCACTCTATAAGATAATGGGGGAATTTCCTGTGTGCTATTAAAAAAGATCGCAATGCCCTGTGTGTCCATGAAAAAGTTCATCGGTCTTCAGCGCTACTACTTTAACTTTTTCGTGTCCTCCATGTCACTTCCGTCAGTTTGAGCTCTAACGCCGTCAAACTGCAGGTGTGAAAAGACGAAAATATCCTTAAATCTAAATATGTTATTAATTTTTTTTTGAGCATCTTAGCGACTTCAAATAAAAAAACTCAAAACTAGAAAGTTGTAGATCTCGTCGAGATCTATAATTTTCATATAAAAATTATTTTTTTGCGGAATTAAATAAAAAATAATTTTTGTATAAAAATTATAGATCTCGACGAGATATACAATTTTCTAGTTTTGAGTTTTTTCATTTGAAGTCGTTAAGATGCTCAAAAAAATTAATAACATATTTAGACTTAAAGGGTATTTTTGTTTTTTCACACCTGCAGTTTAACGGCGTTAGAGACAAAACTGGCGGAAGTGGCATGGAGGACACGAAAATGTTGGAGTAGTGACGTTGAAGACCGCTGAACTTTTCCAGAAACACACAGGGCATTGCGATCTTTTTTAATGGCACACATGAAATTCCCGCTAAGATAATAATGCATCTCATTTGCCGATTGGATCACAGAAGAAACCGTATGGCGCTATAGCAAATCAGTGAGTTTAACTGTGTACAAAAACAGCTTTCCTTTTCTTGTGGCGTCCATGCTGGACAATTCAATAATTGATGGTCACGTCATCATCGCAATAATCTTGTTTGGTACAGTGTTTGCCTCACTAAAATACAACTGATAAAATTGATGATTTTGTTGTCTTCACATTTAATTGCTATAGAAACAGCATGTACACCAGACGACCCAAGCTCGAGCAGACTCACTCGGCACTCACCGGGATATAAACCTTGTTGCCACCAGTTGATATCTTGTACACGTAAAATATCAATACAATTGCACTGCAAATGAAAGACAGAAGGAAATGATGTCATAACGAGGTCTGTTGTCAAGACACAAGCCTACGACTAAAGAGTGGCTCAGTGAAGGTCACCGGATTGCTAATTTCCAATAACTAAAGAGTGAATGGATAATACAAGTAGAATGCTTAGCCAAACTTTGGAGCCATACTAGGTGCTCCATCTGCAGTGGACAAGAATTGAAGCTCAGGAACTAAATAACTCATTTTGGGCATTTTGCATGATTGTAGCCATGCTGAAAAAGAGAACAAAGAGGAACTACCGAATCATAGATAGAGGAGATATAACAATGCAAAGCTCTCCCGCCTGAGGGTTTAACCATGTTACGCACTGGGATACATAACGTGTAGGACCAAATCGTGTACCATAACGAGATTAGAATAGAGTACATATATACAAGAACTTGGCACAACAAACTCGTGCCCGAATGAGGAAGGGAGGTTTGAGCAAACCTGACAGCAGCAATAATTCCAGTGGGCATTGTCTTTCGTGTTTTGACGTATCTTATTCCCATGACAACAGTCAACAGCACGGCACAAACTGTTTAAAAAAAACAAGGTTAGAAGATATACTAACTGATGAATATCAAGCCTAAGAGGGTAGAGCTTGTACACATCATAGACCTAAACAGGAAATCACAAATGAGCAGTTCTTCCAATCAATGTTAGTGACCAAAACATGGAAATGGATCGAATTTATCATACAAATCTACATATAATCATATTTCCCTCTAAATAAAAGCAATCAGCTAGAGCATACACTAGTGAAGCAACAATTGGGAACTAGCATACTGCATACCAAGTTACTGGAGTAGTCAACCAATTCAATAAGAGTTTTCAGTCCAGTGGAAATGGGATGATAACAGCGTGATTGTATTGGGAGACGAATATTAGGAACTGAAAAGGTTGTGCATTCTGCAGGATAGTGAATTATCAACATCCCATCATGTACATTTAGCCGCAACCTAATGTCACTGCAACAGTAGATTTCATACCCAGAGTCAAAATCACTACAATCAATGATGCGACCTAGGATTCCCGCAACTGCAGTTCCAGTGTTACCACACGAAAGCATGAATCCATGCTGACTCTTGTGGCTCCACCGGTCAACCCAGAGTCCCAGACAATTACGATTGACGAGCGATCGAGCGCAACTGAGAGAAGGCAAGCAAGCTGAGAGGGAGGGTGAGGAAAGGGAGTGGCGGTAGGCAATGGACCGATCTCAAGGACAGCGGCAAAGATGGCGGCAGCGTCACCCCCACCGTGCGCGAAGGCCCAGGCGCTGAGCGCGCCATCAAGGAGGTAAGATGCGACTGATGCTCCTTATCTTCAAGCAAGTCTCACTTACCACATTATCATGCTGATTTAGTGATAAAATAAAACCAAAAAATTGATTTAAAACTTATTTCACTTTCTATTTCGTAGCGCTATTTTAGTAGTGATATTCTAATATGATCTGCAAATTGAATGTTAAAATTATGCATGGCTCATGTCAATTTTAACCATTGTGTACAGTTAATTTACAGAGTACAAAATTCCACTGGTGCTTAGTTAGAACTAAGAATTCAATTAGAGAATGCGATAGGGCATAATTGCTCATATAGTGAATTATTTTATCAATCGGACTTTTGTATTGCCTTATCATCTCTCAGTCTATGCTTTTCGGTGCTTATTTTTAAAAGCTTCTTTTTTATGCGTCCCTTGTAGGCCAATGATTTCATGCTAATATAAGATATGGCATACAAAAGTAACATATTTTTTCAGTGAAGGGAACTCTGAATAGGCTACAGTCGAACTTAAATGCATACACCATCTTTTGGTCTCAAATTTAACAAAGAGAAAAAAATAAAAAAAAAGTGGTCTAGCCTCATCCAGAATGAGAATATGATTTTCATCCTCCGGAATTATCGCTGATACAATATGGCTTGGTGACTTGCCTGTTTTTTATGGTTCTTACTACTGCTGTCTATGTAGTTAGGCGGGCTCCCCTCTTTACTGACACGCTTCACAGGATCAGAGCTAATGTATGATCCCATTGGCAGACACCATCTCTCCCTAAATCATATCTGCATAAGCTCCACCTCAAAGAGAAATCTGAGGGTCAATATACACAAAAAGTATCTAAGATGCCAGAGAGAACAGAGAGAGAAAATATAATCCAACACAACAGACAAAGAAAGCTCCCATCGTATGGCATTTGGATAAAGTTTGTAGTGCAGGCAGCCAGATCATGATAACCCCGCATTACACAAACTAAAATAAAATGGATTCTCTCAGTCACAGATGAGATGCCAGGAAACTTTTATGACCACAAAATCTGCATGCATTACTCTGATTCAAAAGATACCAATCACTAGCATGGTTCTACACACAACACCCTATGCAGCTTGCAGCTACTCCCTCCATTCCAAATTGTAAGACATTTTGGCTTTTCTAGATACATAGCTTTTGCTATGCACTTAGATATACATTGTCTAGATACATAGTAAAAGTAATATATCTATAACAGCCAAAACGTCTTACAATTTGGAACAGACGGAGTATATAAGAAAATTCACATTAGCATCAGAGATTCCCCTAGATGTAGTCATCATGCCATTGTGCCCCCATGAACCAGGAGCACAGCAGATGCAATTGTCTTTGCTTTTCATCATCTGCCAATTTTGCCCATATGGTAAATACAGCATGTTTGTAACTCAAATATATCTATAACAGCCAAAACGTCTTCAATTTGGAACGGAAAGAGTATATAAAAGAAAATGCACATTAGCATTAGAGATTCCCCTAGACATAGTCATCATACCATTGTGCCCCCATGAACCAGGAGCACAGCAGACGCAATTGTCTTTGCTTTTCATCATCTGCCAATTTTGCTCATAGGGTAAAATACTGCATGTTCTCAGATATATCTATAAAAGCCAAAACATCTTACAATTTGGACCAGACGGAGTATATAAGAAAATTCACATTAGCATCAGAGATTCCCCTAGACAGTCATCATGCCATTGTGCCCCCAAGAACTAGGAGCACATCAGATGCAATTGTCTTTGCTTCTCATCATCTGCCAATTTTGCCTATAGGGTAAAATACTGCATGGTTGTAACTCAAATATCAGACAAGCTAAAGAGAAATCATTAACATGATGCTGACCAAAGCACAAGTATCCCAGACTGCATTGCAGTGCTTGATAACAGGACCGCTTTTCCGATAGTGGCAAAGAACTCATTAAACAAGTCAAATGAATTTAGGCGGGGCATTATTCCAATCTGGGATAGCCTTCATAACTTTTGCATCTACAGACGCATTTCCCGGAGCCTGCTCGGCCAGCTAAATGGTGGACGAGGAGCAGAGGATATATATACACATAGATAAATGTATGCGTGCGTGTGTGTGGTTGTAGTTTCCCTCAGAGAGAAAACTACTCACATATTTTTGGAACGGAACGTGGCTGATAAGCCAGGCTGACAAGTTCAAGCGAACAGGGCGATGATCCACCACGGCGGTCAAGCAGGCTTCGACGGGAAGCGCATTAAGATCTCCGTTCTTTGTGCAAACAATGCTAATCATCAGACTGGCAGATTAGAATAGGCCCCATGAAAAATAAGTCAATCATCTAGTCAATAGCCCCATGAAAAATAAGTCAATCATCTAGTCAAGTCGGAACGAAGCAGAAACCACAACCTATTTAAATGGATTATGCACTTCTACCAGCTCATAGATCCAAGATCCAGGCCCTCAATATCATCAAGAATCCAAGATCAAGAATGTGGGATTTAGAAAGCAGATTCCTCGAGATATGCTTGGAAATTTCACGGCCACTTCATGGAAATCGGGAAAAGAAAAGAAAAAAATTAGAGATACAAGTAAGGCAGGGGGGCACAAACAAACTGAGGTTATCATCGGAGTTTCTTGCGCCCCCGGCCGAATCGGCAACCGAGGGCTCCGCTGACTTACCTGCCATGCTCCTTGTCATTCGCCAACCTTG